GCCATTGGGGGGGCCATATTCAGTTGTATCAAACTTAAAGTAAAAAACTACAAACTTTAAACTGATTATTTTGCGTTATGTAAGCAGAATTATTGTAATATACATCCCTCGTAATATTTAAACCCCAACTTACACGTAGAAAAATTGTAATAAACACCGGCTTATTTTTTTGGCGACATTTTACTGTGGTTTCTCACCATTATAAATTTGCTTCTGACACCTCGGTAAGTTAAGCATATTTTAGACAACTTCAATTAGCTTCCACTATCGCTAATTAATTACAAAATCTTAAAGCTAAAACAGTCATATCCCAGAATTTTACGACCTTACTAAAGAATAAACGCAAGGTCTTCCTTTACAGCCAATCGTTTCAGCTTATGAATCTCCTGAAGAATTACTGTCTTGGTTATTAGAGACTGACTCCTAGTTTCCATGATTTGGTACCATCTCATATTAGTTGTATTGTGGGATCCATAAGCAAAATTAACCTATATAAAAGCCGTGTGTGTGTCACGTCACGCTTTATTTCTCGAAATAGGAGGAGTCATAAAAGTCAAAATACATTTATCCAGATAGAACTATTCGATCACTGTCTGCCCATTACGATTTTAGTGACTGTGGTGAATGGAAGCCGTGAAACCTTATTAATGTAGTGAGTGTTGGTATAATAATCCATAAGTAAAGAATAGTATTGGATCGCCTAACCTAGATCCAAGTACATATACTTTATCATGAAAGTAAAAGTATCGATTCAATTTTAAACTTAAATCGTTTCAGAATTAAGCTATTTCCTGTTATATCACCAACGTTTTTAATAAAATAAAAAACCTCTTTAATCAACGGAGAAATCAAAAATATATGTTTCCAGTTTTGTTATCTATACATTTCATTTTATATTTTTAGTACACAAACTAACAACAATATTAGGTTAGGTTATAGTTTTGTTGCAGAACAACATTACATAAAAGCCATTGTTGGAACGTAGTGTTACCAAAACGCACTGGCTTTTCTATATATTAGAAGTTATTAATCTGATTTTTACAAATAATTATTCTATGGATATGTTACGATTTCACTTCATGAATGATCTTAATTTTGATTGGCTCACAGAAGAATTTACCAACGTTTGACTGTTTCGACTGCACTTTTCTGTCTCTTTGTTGGTCAAGATTGCTTTCGCAAAGTCTATTTATTTCGGTTAGCTATGAAATATGAGGTTAGGGTATACTATAGGGTGGGGGTGGTAGTACTTACCCAGTCATTTTTGACAGGCTATACGCAAGTTAATATTAATAAACACTTTACCAGAAATAATAGCATAGTGTCATTATATCCATTTATACCAATTGAAGAAGGCATACATTGTCTTGAAACCGATTAGTAAAGATCTGATTATATCAGAAACATATGGTCTCTCATTTGACCTATTATAAACTTATTTTGAGGTTTGTCCTATACAACAGTCGTTTCAAATTTTGAGAGGCATGACACCTCTTGGTGTATGGGCAATAAATGTGCTATGTATTTGCTGTTATTTTTATGCATTCACTACAAAGGAAACTTTTAACTTGGGGGAAAGAACAGTTTGTTTTCTCCTTTGGCAAGGTTTGATTACATCAATGATATTCTTTGTCATCTGGAATGCTGATCTTGAAACACTACTTGAATTCCACAACTTCATCAACAGGCAAAATGACAACATTCTATCACGAAATTAACACTAGAAACATCAATTGGTGACAATACACTATCATTTCTTATTGTACAAGTTACTATAAAAATGTTCTAATCCACACTAGCCTACACAAAACACATTTCACGAAACCAAATCACATTATACTATACCTCACACATCCACAACAAGTCAAAAAAGGGATATTGGACAGTTAAATTGAATCCAGAAAATCTGCAGTGAAAAGAGCAGCCTACTAAGAACCTATACATAACACTTTGACAAAATGGTTAACCTACATCATTAATAACATCTATTGTGGATAAGTGGAGTCAACCATAGAGATAATCCTTCAGTTGTAAATAAAGACTAACACTGTTTCAAACAAAGCCATTCCATTGGACACCACTGGTAAATGTGCTTGGTTGTTGCTTTGTGACGAATACTCAGTTCAAGATGAAAAATCTAATAACTAGCATAGCATCTGACAAGAAATAAATACAACTCAAAATTCCAAAATAAACTGATAAATCTAATAATGGAGATACAATTTTTTTTTTGTATGGCAAATCCAATTTATTTTGGTGTCTCAACTACCTGTCAGAATAATAAAGAAACTAGCACAACAATTAAAAAATATTGGTAAAATCAGTTTTCAAACCCAAAATTTAGTGAAAAAAAAGTGTAAAGATTAGCCAACAGCTGCAACAAAGAATGCTGCTTTTAAAATCAAATACAAATCATCTGAAGATCTCTATATATAACAAAGTAGGAAGGAAATACATGATATTCACAAAGCATATGAAAGACATATTCAACATGAAAGTAAGTAAAAATACCACAGCTGAAAACACTTGGGAAAAACAGTCTACCATGCCAGAAAAACCTCTGAACATGAACATATTGTTGAAAGCCAATGATTTTCTAAGCAGGAAATATATAGATGCATTATACTTCTAAGACAAGCAACCAAGAATTACTTTCTTCATTGGGTGACTGATTAAATGGCTAAATATAGATAACCATTCAATTTACCCTATTTTTGTAATAATTTGGTTCAGTTCAAACATGTATCTAGATATAGATATAACTATACATATTTTAATCTTTTAGTTCTATGTTACCCAATTTTATAATACTCAAAATATTTTATCTCAATTTTCCAGAAGTATGTATCTGTATACCTACATAATATCTCAATTTCTTAATTCACCAGATGAATTCAATGGTCACTTACCTTTTTGGAAAACTGAAAAAATAAAAATACTGAAATACATTTATACTGATATGAGATATATAAACATCTGAAAGTTACTGTCACATGAAACATAATTTGAGGCCCTACTACTGAGACAGTTTTCTCCTGAAACTTATAATCAATCGGTATTATGAGGTGTCTTTACCAGTGGTATAATTTAATTATTAAGGAATTAATCTAAAATGTACAAAAAAATACAAGATGTTATAATACTTTGTTTATACATGTACTCCTGTTGTGTTAAGAGTAGAAGCAAGATTATTAATTGTATTAGTTTGTGAAGGTTTGAAGCCTTCAACTGTTTGAGTTGCTTGTTAAAAAGTACATAAATTTCCTCAATTTTCTTCCCTGATTTTCATAAACACTATTCAAGTACATGCTGTGCATAACCTATTAAAAAGCCATTACATCATGTAACCCATCAAACTTATTCACTTTGGAATTTTTACATATGCAACCATAGTGAAATGTATTTAACACATGTATATACACGACTGAATGTAAAATGAGACAATATTTATCAAGAATCAATTATGTTCTTCTTTAAGCTTGTAAATTGCTATATTATGAGTATTTCTTAAATGGATCTGCATGTTTCCAAACTCTATGAATCCTTTTCCACATTCTGTGCATTTCAAAGGATATTCATGGGTGTGTTGAGCAATTTCATGGCCTTGAAGAGCACTGCTGCGTTTAAAAGTTTTACTACAATAGGTACATTTGTATGGTCTATCTTCTGTATGAGTCTTCAGGTGACGAGTTAAGACATTATGATAAGCAAATGTTTTTTCACAGTAAGGGCAGCGGTATGGTTTCTCTTTGTTGTGAATCCTCATGTGAATGTTGGTGTGTCCACGCTGTGTGAATTTTTTCCCACAAACATCACAGGCATAAGGTTTTTCTCCCGTGTGAGTAAGCATATGTTTACGTAAGCTGCTCTGTTCAGTAAATCCTTTTCCACAACAGCTGCACTGGTGTGGTCGTTCATTAGTGTGAATTGCAACATGATTACGCAGATCTGTAGATTTGTTTGTAGAATATTTACAATAAGGGCATCTAAAACGTCGGTTTTCTGTTTCATTTCGATGTATTTTTTTATGCCCTTCCAATGTTTTCAAAGATGTAAACAGTCTTCCACACTTTTCACATGGGTATGAATCTGTAGACAAAACTTTTTCAATCTCATTATCTTTTTCTGAACTTTCAAAAGATGTAGAAGGAATGTTTGGATTGTTAGGATCATGTTTTGCTATGTAATGTTTCATAACATTATTTGTACAAGAAAAACCTTTATCACACACAGAGCAGTGAAAACGCTTATCTCCTGTATTAGTGATCTTTCTTACAATTATTTCCTGGCTATTAAGTTTAACATTTTCACAAGACTGTGAAGAAGGATTTTTTCTTAGATGAACTCTCATGTGGGTAGCTAGACCAGAGCCTTTTCTGAACAAATTGTTACAAAGGCTGCACTTCACTAGTTCAAACTGAGCATGAGCTTCTTGATGTTGACGAAGATGTCCTTCTGCTTTGAACTTTTTCCCACATTCCAGGCATTTGAAGGGTCGTTTATCTTCTTGGCAATCTTGGTGAGTGGCTATGTGATTTAAAAGCTCAAGATAGCTTTTAGCAGAAAAAACACATTGAGTACAATGATGCTCATCAGAACTTGAAGACTTATCTTGTTCCTTATAAGTTGCTAAAGAATCCTCCATAATAAACACTCTTTCACAAGATCCACTTTTATTCATTTCAATATCAGATGCAGGCTGTCTATCTAAATCCCTAGTTTCCTCATCCTCATGATGCTCATTTAGTTCAGAAAATTCATTTTCACAAGTATCAGTTTTGTCCTTGTGAATATGGTTGTGAGACTGATCTTCCATTAATTCCTCAAGAAGTATTTCACAATTAACACTATTGTTACAGCTGTTACCAAAAATCATGTGGTTCTCATCTTCATCCTCCGTGATGTCTTCTTCATTAAAACTTTTTGCTTCCAACAAAAGCTCTTCATTACATAAAACACCAACAGCTTCATCACCTTCCTTTTTGCTCATCTTGTTCTTACCTATAAGGCAGTATGAGAAGAAAATAAATATACACTTAAGTAGTCTATATGTAATTCACAGAAGAAATACACATACTTCGGTGACGAGGAACCCACTTTGAGACTAATAATGGCTGAAGACGGCTTGAATGGGTAATGAAGAAAAACTTTAATATAACCGCAAATGTACAACGTTTCGACAAGGTACATTTGCGGTTATGTT